CACTTTAAACAACAACAGCACTCATCAGCCTTCCTGCAGAGCCACTGTCACGGTTTGTCTCAGTATTACAGTGGGTCAGTGATGACATCATAACCTGTGGCCCGTCTGGTGTGGGTCAGTGATGACATCATAACCTGTGGCCCGTCTGGTGTGGGTCAGGTTCAGAGAAGACAGGAACGACACTGAGGCCTTCAGTCGAGGAATGTCAGTGATGTGCCCGGGTGTTTGGAGCTGGAATGTTCTGGAATGTTGGCAGCAGTTCATTTCCCTTCAGGTTTCCCAGGTGTCAGAGTGAAAAGAAAACAATGAAACCACAGGTTGGAATAAAGTGGGGGGGGGGCGGAGAGGAGGCGGCTGTAACAACAGGCAGGAGTCTGGTCAGAAAACCCCGTTCTAGACATGAGGTCATCCATGTTCTACTGTAGGTAAATGTTGTCAGGACATGCCATGCCGGGAAGGCGGGGGGGGGGCTGCTCCCTGCCTTATCAGCTGCCTCCACTCCTACATTCAACCCACATATTTATGTCTTTGCCAATGACAGGTAGTTAATAATAAACCAACCTCTGGACCCTGACAGGGAGTGGTGAGGCGAACCAGGTGTTGAAGCTCCTGCAGTTGGTTATAACTCATGTTACATAACCACCACACACACACACACACACACACACACACACACACACACCTACTGAGCTCTATGTTAACACGACTCAACAGTGCAGTGATCAGAGTGACCCCCCCCATCCCTGTCTCTGTGAGTGTTCTCTGCCTGGACTCTGGACACGTCCAGGTCTGAGGGTTTTCATGTAGTTTCAGATGTCTCTCTCTCTCTCTCTCTCTCTCACACAGAGTGACTGAGTCACAGTGGGCTGGTAACAAGTGCCTCTTCTCTGGGAGAGTCCCTGGTGTGTCCTTGTGATTAAGGCCAATCCCCCAGAGCAGATCAGGTCTCTGTTCACTGGGCAACATGACACTCCACTGTTGCCCCGCTCACAACAACAGCTGTGCTGCAGCAGCAGCAGCAGCAGCAGCAGCAGTGACAGGTGATAAACCCTCAGACAGACCAGGCAACAACAACAACGATGACACAGTGGCTCCCAGCTCAGTCTACAGTTCAGTCTCCAGTTCAGTCTCCAGCTCAGTCTCCAGTTCAGTCTCCAGGTCAGTCTCCAGCTCAGTCTACAGTTCACTCTCCAGCTCAGTCTACAGTTCACTCTCCAGCTCAGTCTACAGTTCACTCTCCAGCTCAGTCTACAGTTCACTCTCCAGCTCAGTCTACAGTTCACTCTCCAGCTCAGTCTACAGTTCACTCTCCAGCTCAGTCTACAGTTCAATCTACAGTTCAGTCTCCAGCTCAGTCTCCCGTTCAGTCTCCAGTTCAGTCTCCAGCTCAGTCTCCAGTTCAGTCTCCAGTTCAGTCTCCAGTTCAGGCTCCAGTTCAGTCTACAGTTCAGTCTACAGGTCAATCTACAGTTCAGTCTCCAGCTCAGTCTCCAGTTCAGTCTCCAGGTCAGTCTCCAGGTCAGTCTCCAGGTCAGTCTCCAGCTCAGTCTACAGGTCAATCTACAGTTCAGTCTCCAGCTCAGTCTACAGTTCAGTCTACAGCTCAGTCTCCAGTTCAGTCTACAGTTCAGTCTACAGCTCAGTCTCCAGTTCAGTCTCCAGCTCAGTCTACAGTTCAATCTACAGTTCAGTCTACAGTTCAGTCTACAGGTCAATCTACAGTTCAGTCTCCAGCTCAGTCTCCAGTTCAGTCTCCAGTTCAGTCTCCAGCTCAGTCTACAGTTCAGCCTCCAGCTCAGTCTACAGTTCAGCCTCCAGCTCAGTCTACAGTTCAGCCTCCAGCTCAGTCTACAGTTCAGCCTCCAGCTCAGTCTACAGTTCAGTCTCCAGCTCAGTCTCCCGTTCAGTCTCCAGTTCAGTCTCCAGGTCAGTCTCCAGGTCAGTCTCCAGGTCAGTCTCCAGGTCAGTCTCCAGGTCAGTCTCCAGCTCAGTCTACAGTTCACTCTCCAGCTCAGTCTACAGTTCACTCTCCAGCTCAGTCTACAGTTCAATCTACAGTTCAGTCTCCAGCTCAGTCTACAGTTCAATCTACAGTTCAGTCTACAGTTCAGTCTACAGCTCAGTCTACAGGTCAGTCTACAGCTCAGTCTCCAGCTCAGTCTACAGCTCAGTCTACAGTTCAGTCTACAGCTCAAGCTACAGTTCAGTCTCCAGTTCAGTCTACAGTTCAGTCTCCAGTTCAGGCTCCAGTTCAGTCTACAGTTCAGTCTACAGTTCAATCTACAGTTCAGTCTACAGTTCAATCTACAGTTCAGTCTACAGTTCAGTCTACAGTCCAGTAGACTGAACTGGAGACTGAACTGTAGACTGAACTGGAGCCTGAACTGGAGACTGAACTGTAGATTGCGCTGTAGACTGAACTGTAGACTGAACTGTAGACCACATGCCGACCTGTCAGAGTCCAGACTCTAATGAACCACAGGAACAGAGGTAAAAATAAAAGCCCTGAGTGTCAGCGTGTTCCTGTACACATGAAACCAGAAATCTTATCATCTTATTGATGACAGATGAAACCTGTCAGGCCGGGATTAGAACCAGAGGGGGTTTTTAATTACAAATATTTGTTGACACTGTGTTTGTCTTTGTTGTGAAGTGAGATCTTGAAAATCTATATTTATAAGAAAGTGTGGTTGAAGAAGACTCAGGATCCAGTGCTGCCCTGTGGTCAGAGGTGCAGTGATTACTGGGCTGGACTAATGACAGGTTCGATGCCCGGGGGGTTAGGCCTGCTCCTCCCAGCACATGTGCACAGACTGCACCTCACACACACCTCACACACACCCAGGTCCAGCTCCAACAGCAGGTGTAGCCGTCCTCCGCCCCGACCTGGTGGCCTGGTCAGGCAGCGGCTTCCTGTCGAAGGGTGTGTGGTTCTAACAAGAGCAGACCTGTTGTCCCAGTTCAACCAGTGCTTATTGTCAGCTCGGAGGAGCAGAGCTATTATGGGATAGATGAGTGTTTGGTCTGGTAATTCACCGCTTCATCTGCTACCTGGGATATTTCCCATAATTCCCTCATAATTACATGATCATCATAATAAAAATAATTAGCGTCACCGACAGTTACTGGCTTGAATCCCCTTGAATCCCCTTGAATCCCCTTGAATCACTGCTGGGCTTCAGTGAAGTTGGTGTCAAACCTGTGTGAATGGTGAACACAGTAACTGCACTCCCACGATGGGGGGGTGAAGGCGGGGGGGCGGGGGGGTGAAGGGTGAGTCTGACTGTAGGACGAGACGTGTCACATGACCGTCCGTGAATTCATCCACTCCTCTGTGGTTCACTCCCAGTCTCTGGGAACTCTCACCAACCTCAGAGCGACTTCACTCTCTGGGCGTGGAGTGAGGACACCACGTGGACGTGGACGTGGACGTGGACGTCTCTGGGAGTCAAACTGAACTTCAGATGTTTTGATGTGAGCAGTTGTTTTCCTCCGTTCCCTGGGTGTGAGACTCACTTCAGTTGTAAACACATGCCAGAAAACACCGGCCACACCTTCAGACTTGCACAACTTCCTTATTCTTTTTTGTGTGCACACACACACACACACACACACACACGCCAACAGAACACACCCAAACCATCCTCACACTCACACACACACACACACACACACACGTGTTCTGCCCCGCTTAATTGATGCCCTCAGCCAGCGGCCGAGCTGAGGCCAGTGAAGGGCTTGTCAACAAGCTGCAGCCCTTCATCCACTCTGACACTGCAGCTGAGTCAGCACAACACACACACACACACACACACACACACACACACTGTCCACTGTAATCAGCTGCAACTGGAAGTCAACTGTTTCAGGGGTGAGTCAGCTTCTCTCCCCCTCTAGCTGTCTTCCTTCATCACCCTCTCCAGCAACGAGAGTCGAGACATCGAGCTCTCGCCCCCCCACCTTCACTCTAGACCACATCACATCTGGAGATAAACATGTGACCAAACAATGATAAAAACACAAATGTGACATCATCATCATCATCAGCTGACCCTGACCCCCCCCCAGCTGCAGGACAGCAGACACACCTGTGACGGCCCGTGTGGTTTGGGGATGATTACAGGAGAGGTGTTTGGGATTAGAACCCTAAGCTCCTCTGACCTTTGACCTCCCAAAGGTCAGACTGGGCCTATGACCACAGAGTCAGATGTTCTCACTCCCTCTCCCGCCCGTGGTTACACCACTCTTACAGTTATCTTCCTCATATTGAGGTGGATTTTACCATCTGTGCTGAAGAAAGACTGACGACAGAGAAGAGTCATCATCATCTTCATCATCTTCATCTTCATCATCACCTTCATCATCATCATCATCTTCATCTTCATCATCACCTTCATCATCATCTTCATCTTCATCATCACCTTCATCATCATCATCATCTTCATCTTCATCATCACCTTCATCATCATCATCATCTTCATCATCTTCATCATCAGTCATCAAAATATAAACCAGTACTTTTTACATTCTTACTGTATTGGCTGCTAAAATACTACTGCGATACTTGACCATATGAAGTACAATAAAACTAATGAACTCCATAATAAAAACACACAGGGCTATGAGTTCCAAACCTAGGGTGTGCGGGCCACCGCGGTGACAATCTTGTAGTTCAGTATGAACTGAACTAGAAGCCGTGACAAAGGGACCAATCCCAACGCTTCAACACCAGGACATGATGGGAGGTCATCCTGAAAAACCTCAGGTCACATGATCTCTCCCCCCCCCAAACAAAAAGTCATCTGTTCCACAAGTGAGCACTCTTCACACACACACACTGTTAACACATGTTCAGGCAGTCAGACCGGTGCGTGGACCGGCCTCCACGGGGCTGGGGGGAGTGGGGGGGGGGGGGGGGGAAA